TCAGGTTGTAAATCGTGTTTTTAAAAAGTAACTAAGTAACTAAGTAATTAATTACTTTTGAAAATAAGTAATCAGTAAAGTAACGGGATTACTTTTTGGGGGAAGTAATCACCAACACTGGTCACTGGTCACTTCATTAGTTACAGTTTGGTAGTACCAACAAGATGCTGGAAGCAGATTGTTGAGTATCAGACATTTGGGCCCACATTGACATGATAGAGTCACACAGTTGCTGTAGATTTGCCGGAGCACATACATGACAGTGATCTCCCCTGGCCAGTTAACGTCGTCTCAGCATCTGACTAGGATGCCTCCTGGACGTCTCCTGGGCGAGGTTTGAGTATCTGTGCTTGTACTGCTCTCTGCGCTATAAGTTAAAATGAAGAAGATCAATTAATGCCAGGATTTCAAACTTCTTTGAAAACACAGAATATATAAATATTTTAAGAGTCAATAGGCAAAAGAGTCGACACATATATTTTTAAGCATAATGATTTTAGTTTAATCTGTGTTCACACCAAAAGAAGGATGCACGATAATTCAAAACAGTGGGTTTCACTTTAACTTGCACTCATAATATAAGTACGATTACAGATCCAGGAGGATTACCTGCAGCTTGGGGATTTTTGCTCATACCTGCTTTTCTATCAAACATCAGAATGCTCCTTAATGACTCCTTTCAATAACAACACTGCACTCTTTTGCTCCCTTCATACTGCTACAGTTTAAAACTGATTTTTAAATTAATAGTGGCCCATTTCCAACAATTGTCTAGACATTAGAATCATTGTTTTCTCACAACAGTATGATAACACAGAATATGCCATTATTATAAAGGTGGAACACCTTTACTTTTGATGCCTTTAGTGCATTTTTCTGTTGCTTCATTCACATTTTTAAAAATGTTAAAAATTGTTTAAAAAACAAAATCACTATTTAAAAGTTAAATTATTTGATCAGTCACTTCAAGGTACTTTGTACTGTACTGTACTGTAAGGTCAAAACCCTACAATAACGCAGAGAAACACACAACAATTAAGTGACTCTCTTTGAGCAAGCACTTGGCGACAATACGAAGGAAAAAACGTCCCATGAAGAAACCTCCAGATAACCAGGCTCGGGGTGGGGTGGCCATCTGCCGTGACTGTTTGGGGGGTTAGGGGAGGCAGACAGGAAGATTAGACAAGCACTATGAAAGAGAGACAGAGATTAATAATAACTAATTATTAAAATGCAAACTGATCTATAAACACACAGAGAGTGAAAAGAGATGAGTGAAGATGCCAAATGAAATTCTCTCCTCACATATGAGTCTTTGCCAGTCTGCGGTGACACATCCATTGCCCTGCAAGGTTTCAGGACATACAACTTCCTACAGGTGGTAGGATCAACATAAAATAACTGATCACTGGACTCCAACCGAGGACCTCCTCGCTGTGAGGTGACAGTGCTAACCACCACCTACGATATTACATATTTTTGTGTGCAGTCGAGCTGTTTAAAGCAGCTTTTGTGAGCAATACAGTGGCTGTGCATGAGCTAAATATGGGCTGAGAATTCAAATAATGTGGAGCATTACTTATTAACACCAGCCAAGCTGCTCCAAAAATTGTTAGCAGCCATGCTTTTTGGCTCCATTAGACACTGGCAGGTAACCAATCATGATGCTTTCTGTTGTTCAGATGTAGCCTGGCTGGAAAAATATTCAAATGGATAAAAATAGTAACATTTTAGAACAAGAGGCATTCGAAAAGTCTCTTGAACACTAGTTATAATACTGATGCAAATGCCCCTGCTGGTAAATTTTAACTGATCACAGGATGTATTCACTTTTTTACAGCATACTCCATTTCAGCAAAAACAGACTGTGTTGTTTTTGCTTCTTCTTTCTTTCTTTTTTTTTTAAATGTTTCTGATATAAAAAGTTGCTCCAGCACCGTTATGGGTGGAAGTTAATCAGCATCACTGGCAACACATTAAACACCTTCTGGTATTTTTGAGCTTCAAAATAACCAACAGAGCAGGTTTCACCTTTTCAAGGTCGTCCCTCCCTAATATCAAACTGGGTACCAGTGGATTCGGAGATGACGGTCTTAACATGAACCAGTTGTTGGTTTTCACTGAGATTTTAATATGAATAACTGCTGCCACCTGCTGGAGCAATTTCCTTGTTATTAATGCTGAGCTTCTAAATGTCAGAATATATTAGTAGAAAGGGGATAAAAGGCAAACCGCTATCTAACTTTATAGTTCATAGCCCACATGGGGCCATTAATCTTATGTTGTCACACAAATATGCTCTTAACCTGTTCATCACCCAAACCAATGCTCTCAAAACATGAAGCCACACTGCTGCTCGCTGATTGTCGCATCGCTTAACAAAATAAATAATAAAATATTTATTATGATTAATAAATTAATATTTATATTATTAATAACAATTAATACAATATAATAATAAAAAATAAAGCTTTCCCAAAGCTTCATCCATATGCAGTTATTGCAGCTGCGCAGCTAACAAGCTTCAAAGCAAAACTCCCACATCTCACATTTGTTCTACAGAAGTTATTTTTAATAAACACCTGTCAAATGAAAGGTTTGCTTCTGAGAGGCAGCATGTGAATCCTCTTCAGAAAACAACCAAGACAACTAACTGGAATGAGAGATAACATGTTATTTTCTTAAAAATAAAAAAAAAGCAAAAAGGGTAACTGGGAGGGGGAAAAAAAGGAGACCAAACAGCAGAAATACATTAGTTTGTGCAACAGCAAATACAGCTGAATTATATACAAGCATATCTTTACTGAACATTCATCAACAGCTTCAACTATGCATGTACAATGAGGGCTCTCCTATCGGTTTACAGGAAACGTGTTGTTTTCAGCTTGAGTTTAATCAGTCGTCGCTATTTGTTCCAGTCAGCGCTGAGCAGCCAGTGTTTTCAAGTGCTACAGAGGTCTGCAAGAAATGGTAATGCAATACTTCAGATGTTCAGGAAATTAATATGGAAATTAGAAACTGTAACATGATAACATTCAGCAGCTTGCTTTCAGCTCAGAAATAGACGGACACTCGAGTTACTGTTTGATGTAATGAAGGATGAAAACGTCAAAGTAAGTTGTAAGAAATGAGTTCAGCTTGAGACGTGTTTATAAGACTTGTCGGTCTTAAAATAGCTGGTGGCTTTTTAGGAGAACAGTGCAGCCACAAAACTCTGTACAAATTGAATGAATATCTATCTTAGCTGCTAAACTTTGTATTTATAGTACATTAAACTGTTACTCTATACTGTACTAAAACAGACTGCAGCATAAATGTTATTGTTAAACTGAGAACTTATGTAAACATAACAGAGAAATCTAAATCTCAAACTTTAAATTCTGACCTGAATATGGAAGATCCCATAAGCATGCTTTGAAACGCAGCTCAGAGGCTGCCAGATCTGTCAACAGTATTGGATTTCTCCAAATATCGTAACCGTTATGAACAATCATTAAGGCTGAGTCTAGGGGTTCATCTAAAATTGTTAGAAAAGCAAGGCTTGAGACCAAAAGGTTGCTGGTTTCAATTCCAGTAACATCTGAGGAAATGTGGGTGGGAGGAGAAAACAAATAAAATATGACGCTCTTCCATTCTTTCACCAAAAAGGAGACAGTGTAAGGCCAGCCAAACAGATTTTTCAGTCAGGCCCGTCTTTCCACATCAATTTTTTAAATTATTACTCCACCTCCCTCTTCAGGGATCCCCATAAAAATCTTCTTTATAAAAGAAACATAAATTTGTACAAGTATTTACAAAGGGAAGGAAGGGGAGAACAAGGCATTTAGTGTTTGGGTTCTACAATAATCCACAAAGACATTGTTCCACATCCCTCAGTCCAACATTCAAAACATTACAGGATTACAGGAGTCCATTTGGAGTGTTTTTGTTGTAGTGTTCAATCTCAGCCAACTATCGCTTCAGGGCGTGATGTGTCCTGGGCCAGCCCAAGTCCCTGAGACATTAGCGTTTGACTTCTTCGTTTTTTGCTAACAATCTCAACTCGAGTCTGAATCACTGCTGTCTGAGGAAGAGGATGACGAGGAGGAGGAGGACGAGTCTGAGCTGGAGCTGCTTCCGCTGAGGCGTGATGGCTGGGCGTGAGTCTCCACTGCACTTGGCTTTTCCACTGAGGAGAAAATAGCAAAGAGAACAATGTTTAATGGATGCACCTGTACGAAAAGGAAGAAATCACTGAAGTGTTTCTCTCAGCTTCTTTGCCAAAACAGCCCATACGTGCAAAACCTCACATTTCATCTGGTTTTTACAGACAATTCTGCTTCTACAAACAGTCTAGTGATGGAGAGTGCGAACCACTGGAACCAAAGTTTCCTAAAACAAAAGAATAGCTCATTTATAGCCAGATGTGATATAATGGCCAGGGGAAACATGTAAACAGAAGTTAAAGCTGTAACTCAAATACACACAGGGTAGAAAGATGGATAAACTCCAGGGGCCTGATGCATAAAACTCTAGATTCACAACTTAATCTGTGTAAACACAGAAATAGTATCTTCTTTCCATCTAAAGCCAGCTGTACATATTGTCTTCTTTTGCAGATCAAAAGAGGAAAAACCTGAAGATGTACAGCCTTAAATATAGTCTAAACGTCACCATAACAGGCTTGAATCGCTCTAGAAAGTGTGTGCGCACGATTTAAAAAGGTATGTTTTAGCTCAACACTTTCTAAATTCCTGCTTGTGTGGGGGTACAGGCGCACACATGTCTAATACTATGCATCCCGCTTCAGCACACAATCATGGTGTTTAAATACTTTGCCATTTTTCTCGCTCATTCTGATCTACGCTCCCGGTTTAATCCCGCCCTGCTACTAATGCATCTGCAGGCCGATGAATGTTCTTACTCTTCATACAATCTTTAAGCAGCAGGAGAGAAGAAGATACTTTAATGAAATTCAATTTCCAATTCAATTGTATTTATATAGCGCCAAATTACAAAAACAGTTGCCTGTTATTGTAAGGTTAAGACCCTAAAATAATACAAAGAAAACCCCTACGAGTGTTTCTCAAATAAAAGCCCATTATGGTATGCAGATAAGCGAAACAAAAGCCCTGCCCACACTTTAAAGAAATAAACAAACTGGTTTTCTAATGATCAGCACACATGAGGCATTCCATATTATTATGATGTCTTACTG